GTGATAGATTGCTTGTGTATATAAAGGCTTGTGTATATAACTGTAGAGGAAAAGTCATAAAATGACTTGGGGTCTATAAAGAAATAGAGGCAGAGGCAAGCTAGTGAGATTGAAAGATAGAGATAGAGATAGAGAGAGAGAAGAAGAAGGAGGAGGAGGAGGAAGAGGAAGTGGGGGAGGAGGAGAAGAAAGAGGAGGGGAGGAAGGGGGCAGCACTAAATATTTCTATACAGATAACATATATGAATATACGTAAGTATGTATGTAAGTAATTATATAAACCATACGTATGTGCATATACAGGACTCTTAACAGAAAGGACAGTGATGGTGTTCCTGGTCCTGCGTGCACAGGTGTCCATGACAGCCTCTTCTGCTGTTACTGTATTTTCCTCCCCTGTTGACCCTATGGCTGACTTCCCTTCCTGTGGCTACACTGAGCCCTCAAGGTGATAATGGTGGAGCTGACCGGGAGAAGGCCATGGTCATGGTTGGACTGAGGACCGTGGGGTTGGGGGGTAGTGGGGATGGGAGTGTTGAATCGAAAGCCGCGACAGACAACAACTGTGATAGCTGCTTTGTGCTGGGAAGCTCCCGAGAGGAGCAGGAACACCAGCCCACGTGCTACACTGGTTCCCAGGTGCACTGGGCACTAGCAGGCCCCAACCACATCCTCTCACTCTTCCTTAGTTCTTAGAGGTACCGTGGATGGGCCCTGAAGGGCAGGGCCTCTGGGAGGCCCTTTGGTTGACAGCTGGTGTTTGCCTCTCAGGGGATTTGCTCTCCTTAATCCCGAGTAGGAGTGATCTGTGTGGGGAAATCTTGGTGCTATATTCATCTCAGCAGTGGGGCCCTGATGGACTTGTTCATCAGCCCAGCTTCCCAGATCCTAGAGCCCGTCTGGTTTTCCCTCCCTAGGAGCAGTGGTTCAATTCTACATTCCATCCTGCAAGTCATCCTGTATCCTTCCAACAGATTCCCATTTTGCTTAAGGGAGGTAGTTTTGGTTGCTTGCACCAAGGGTCTTAACTGGTACAGTGGTTATGCTTAGTAATCGTTTTTTTTTTTTTTTGTTTTTTTTTTTACATGAAATGGTTATCTTTGGGTTGCGTTTCAGCATGGTGTTCAAAGGCAAGGTGGCTGAACATGGAGGCAGCCAGATTCATGGTCTTTGTCATTCATCCATCCATGCCAGGCTGTTCTGACTTCTCTCAGCATTTACTGTCTCTAAAGACAATGCCACCCTCCTTTTAAAAAAATATATTTTTATAGATTTCAGAGAGGAAGGGCGAGGGAGAGAGATTCTCGACCACTGAGCCACACCGGCTGGGCAATGCCACCCCTGTTTTAGCTAACACGGAGCCCATGATGCATGAAAAATGCCTAAGTTAATTTTCTTAACATCGACCTTCGGCTTTCTTAGGCGGAAAAAATTGTGCCTTCCCTGATGTACAATTCCTTTAGCTAAATTCACATTTTAGCTTTGATTTTGTTTGCTCCCACCCTTTTCTGGTCGGCTTGGCTAGGTAACTCAGTCACGTATGGCTGGAAGCCCTCGTTTGCTTGCTCAGAAGGCTGGGAACCAGGGGAGAGAAGAATGAGCCCAGGACCGGTCTGTGGCAGTTACTAGACCTCTGAGCTGCAAGATTTGGACATTATTCCCAGTAATAGAAACGAGGCTGAGCGGTCCAGACGGAGCAGTTTGATCCTGACCTTCTGGAGTGGGGATTAATGGCTTGGCATGTAGTCTGGCGGCACCAGGCAAAGCTTCTTGCCTTTGATCCTGGATGATTTTGTTAGGTCCTTGCTCCTGGTGATGCACACAGGGCATCTGCTCAAAATAACACTGGATTCAAGAAGCAAGGAGCTGGGGAGAGGACTTTACTCAGCCCCCCCCCCCCCCATTGAGACACCCACAGAGGGGGCCTTGACTCGTCTCATCTTCATCTCATACAGGAGGGATCAGCTGAGGGTAGGGCTGACTCCTGTCCCAGAGCAAGAGGGCAGGAGGCCCCTGTCAGTCCTCGGAAGGGTCAGGCGGAAAAGTGAGCACCAAGATAAGTCGCCAGAGAAGGATTCTTTGTGGGTGTCGGCGTTTGAGCACATGGAGGATTTAGGCCTATCAAAAATGGTGGGAGCTGAAACCGGTTTGGCTCAGTGGATAGAGCGTCGGCCTGCGGACTGAAAGGTCCCAGGTTCGATTCCAGTCAAGGGCATGTACCTGGGTTGTGGGCCCATCCCCAGTGGGAGATGTGCAGGAGGCAGCAAATCGATGTTTCTCTCTCATCGATGTTTCTAACTATCTCTCTCCCTTCCTCTCTGTAAAAAATCAATTAAAAAATATATTTAATAAAAAATGGTGTGAAAAGTTATTCCAGACAGATGAATGCCAGCTAGGAACATGGCTACTCAGTTGTACTGTCTCCCGTTGTTCTGTGTAATTTTCTATATTACAAGATTATTAAAATTTTGAAGGCAGAAGTCTTTTTTTCTTTCTTTTTTCTTTTCTTTAAGACAGAAGTCTTGTAGTGACTCTTAATATCTTCCAGCATGTTAGAATATGCTAGATAGAGATGTGTACATGATCAGCTGGGCTTTTTTTTTTTAGAGAGAGAGGAAGGGAGGGGGGAGACAGAGAGAGAAACATCGAGGTGAGAGAGACACATCAATTGGTTGCCTCCCACACACGCCCCACTCCTGTAACTGAGGTGCATGCCATTGACCAGAATGGAAGCCGGACCCTTCAGTCCACAGGCTGACGCTCTATCCACTGGGCTAAACTGGCCAGGGCCGGCTGGGCTCTTTTATATTCAGATGATGAAATGGCCTTCCCTCTGCTCACAGTTGACCTTCACTTCGACCTGTTGGAGCCAGGCTGCAGCCAGGAATACTGCTAATTGACTGCTTTTCACTCCAACAGCTCATATGAGATGGACCAAGAGCACTTAGCTGTTATAAACCAGCGTGGAATTTGGCTTCTTTTCACCTCCAGCCACCGAGCAGCTGTCAGGCGCCACTGACTTCAAGTCAATTGCTGGGCCTCAAATTTATTGGGTGAGTCATTGGCAACCTCTGAATGTTTCCCAGTGAGCCAGTCACCCAGAACGGGATTTTGAATGAAAAGTTCATGTATTGCTTGGAAAAATCATGGCAGTTGTGGCTATAGAGGCAGAGAGGGGGCAGTGGTAGAGGTTGGCCTCTGCCCGGGGCGGTAGTGGTGGGGCATGAAATGGAACTCTTTCCAGCTGGGTAGGAGAGCAAAGCTCAGAACATAAATATTTCACTTTGATGCTCATCTAAGGTCAAGCCGCAGGAAGCTCTCTTAATTGTGGGGGTGAGCTAGCAGGTGGTATGCTTTTTAATGTTGATATGTTCAATTTATTTTTATTATTATTTTTTAAAATACATTTTTATTGATTTCAGAGAGGAAGATAGAGGGAGAGAGAGATAGAAACATAAATGATGAGAGAGAATCATTGATTGGTTGCCTCTTTCATGCCCCCTACTGGGGCTTGAGCCAGCAACCCGGGCGTGTGCTCTTGATCAGAATCGAACCCGGGACCTTTCAATCCACAGGCCGACGCTCTATCCACTGAGTCAAACCAGCCAGGGCGATATGTTCAATGTAGATGAAGGGGTGGAACAAACTCATAATGCCACCTTGAAGAGTGTGGGCTGGCGGCAGATCCGAGCCCTCCAGAAATCAGCCTTGCAATGTACTCTGTTGGCCCTGTTGCTTTAGGGCTCTGTGCTAAGGTAGTAAAAAGTTCTCCCAGATGCCAGAACTGGTTTGGCTCAGTGGATAGAGCGTCGGCCTGTGGACTCAAGGGTCCCGGGTTCGATTCCGGTCAAGGGCATGTACCTTGGTTGCGGGCACATCCCCAGTGGGGGGTATGCAGGAGGCAGCTGATCGATGTTTCTCTCTCATCGATGTTTCTAACTCTCTATCCCTCTCCCTTCCTCTCTGTAAAAAATCAATAAAATATATTAAAAAAAAGTTCTCCCAGAATTCAGAAATTTCACTCAGTAGAGATTCATTTCTTAAGAATTGTCCTCTCTGGATAGTCTCTGCTGAGGAGACAGGAGGCTAAAGTGATCAATTCTTAGGATCTTGAAGTGAATTAACTTATCAGATCACTTTTATTTCTTTTTTTAAAATAAAAATTGTCTTTATTGATTTCAGAGAGGAAGGGAGAGGGAGAGAGAGATAGAAACATCAATGAGAGAGAATCATTGATTGGCTGCCTCCTATACAACACCTACTGGGCATGGAGCCCACAACCCGGGCATGTGCCCTGAATAGGAGTTGAACCATGGCCGCCTGGTTCATAGGTTGATGCTCAGCCACTGAGCCACATGCCCAGACTCCTCAGTCCCTAACACTCTGAGCTGCTGAACCTGTGCCAGCTATTCAGCTATCACCCACCTCCGGATACTTCTTGACAAGAGAAAAATGAAACCTTATGTGTTGTTTGTAGTTGAAAATAATTTGTATCTTCATGTCATTCCTCTTACAATTTACGGCTAAAAAACTGTTGCCCACTGTGCAGGACCCACAAACTGCATCTATTTCTGTCGTGAATTGAACTCGAGTGGCTATTTGCTGGTCACTTGGAGTGTTTTGCTTCTAATGCCTTGTGCCCTGGGAGGACTCCATTTCCCGCTGTGGTCCCTCTATTTGGACTACTTCAAAAATCTGTATATGTGCACTGCCTTTATGTCATGAAACACAAACCTGGGCATTCACATCTTGCAGCGGGTCTCTTATAAAGGTGTGACCAGATAATGTACCCTAGTCATATTGTAGATGACCAGCAAACATAAACAAAATCATTCTGCAGAACTCCTGGATCTCCAGGGAGATCTCTGTGGAGCCCAGTTTGAGAAACACTGGCTGGAAAAGAAAACCATCTGTCCCTTTAGGGAAGACACAGCTGAAGCGGCCTCTTTTTCATTTCTTTAGATCCCTGAGAGAATATCCGGCTATGAAGGTTCTGAAGGGAAGGGAGCAGCAGGGGCCTGTGGAAGGGCTTTAGGAAGGATGGTACCAACCTGGAATTGTTGGAGTTCTCCAGTTGTTTCTCTGAAGACGAGGGAGGGAGGGGGAGGGAGGGAGGGGGACAAAGGGAATTGATGTTGACAATAGCTAAGTTAGGGGTGTTTGGAAAGACCTGGTGCAGCAATTAAGAGCTGAAGAGCAGGTAGCCCAGTGCCCTGAGGCAGAGGTTCTCACCCCCAGTTGCCTATTAGAATCATCAGGGGAGCCCTTTAAGGAGCTGATGCAGGACCCATCCCTGGGGGTTTGAATTAATGGGTCGGGGATTGGGTATCAGTCTTCCTAAAAGTTCCCTTAGGAATTCTAATGTGTAGCCACTGTTTTAGGGAAGCTTTCGCTGTGGTGTAAGGCCACCTGTATTCATTTATTTCATGGGGGAAGGGAACCAATCCTTACTGAATGCACTGTGCTAACTCTTTAATAATAACAAATAGCATTAGCATCTAACATTTATTGAAAGCTTATTATATGCCGGGTGTTATGTTAACTACTTTACCCTCATTTAATTTTCACATTTAATTTTCTCTATGAAGTGGATATTATTATCTCCATTTTACAAATGAGTGAGTAGAGGCTCTGCGAGGCCAAGACATTTGCCTGAAATCATTCAGGGACAAACAAATAAATATGTAAATGAAAGTAATAAGTTGCCAAGGTCATGCGGGAAGGGGAACAGGATTTGAACCGTGGCCTTTAGCTCTTTCGCTGCCCCAATTAATTGCTCTCTCAGTGAACACATTTAGCAAATGTTTTTGACAATGGACCATATATGTCCCTGACATTCGGTTAGATGTTGGGAATGTGAACATGGGCAAGGCAAAATTTCTCCTCTCCAGTCTGGTCAGAAAGACAGTTACTTCCAGAACAATGTGAGCATGCCATTATGTGACCACACGCCCCTGGTGCCCGGGACTCTGGTTTTAGCAGTCCAAGTCATCCTCATTCTGGGCAGCTTTCAGTTCTAGGCGACATCCAAAGTTGAGGGGATTTTGTTAAGTGATGAGAGACCAGAATGGGAAGTATCCAGTAGAGGATTGAAGGTTCAGGGGAAAGTGGAGGCGATTGATGGGACAAAGCCTTAGAGGAGACAGAGGAGTCGATCCAGAGTACAGTGCAGGGGATGGTCTTGAACGGGAGGAACTTCCCTGAGACGGAAGCGGAGCAAGGAAAGAGGAAGAGGACTAGGGAAGGGGGTGGAGATGGAAGGGTCTGGAGTGGGGCTAGGAGGCAGCCACAGAGGCGGGAAGGTTTGGAACTCACACTGGGGGCAGGAGAGAAGGTGCCACCTGGAGCCATCCCAAAACGTCTTCCTGTGTCTCATCCTGTGCCTGGGCCCAGCCACGTGTGGCTCAGCACTTGAGTGTCAACCCAGGAACCAAGAGGTCACCGGTTGTAGGCTCGATCCCTGACGGGGGGCATATGGGAGGCAGCCAATCGATTATTCCCTCTCATCATGGATGTTTCTATCTCTCTCTCCCTCTCCCTTCCTCTCTGAAATCAATAAAAAAATATATTTTTTAAAAAGACAAAAAGCTCTGCCTGGGAATTCGCACAGGAATTTGGGCAAATGCAAAACCTAACGCAGGCCTTCTCTGAGAGGCTGGTGACACCCACTGTGGGAATCGCAGCGGAACAGGCATGGAGGGGGTGCCTCTGGACGTGGGGTGGCTCCTCTGGGAACGCAGGCCCCGATGGAAACACTCAGGACGGCAGCTGGTGTGTTCTCATTGGGCAGGCTGGGTCGGCCTCACAGTGGCTCTTCAGTTTACAGACACCGTGGGAGGGTGAGCTGCCCCCATCCGCCCCTCAGCCTTGCCAGAGAAAGAAGTCTGTACGCCCTTTAGTTCTGCCCAGCTGGTCTTTGCCTCTCAAAATCTTCATTTTGAGAAGAAAAAGAATGAACGTGACTTTGATGTGTATTAGACAAAAAGGAGCTCAGCAGATGGGCCACCCTTCACTCAGAGGTTGGGGCCCTCTTCCCATGATGCACTTGAGGACTTTGTGTCCTATTAAAAGCCCATAATACGTGCTCTGTGGGTGGCACCCTTCGCTGCAGTGTGATTGGCTGGGAGGGATCCATCAGCCACTATTATGTCATCCCTCGTTGTTGGCGGGCTCTCCTAGGGGACACTTGAGAAACTTTGATAGAAATATTTCTCTTTGGCAACAGCCCGCTGTTTCCATGGTTGGACAATGCTAACCAGATGTGAAGTAGGCCAGCAAAGGAGAGGCCTGCCCCGGGGAGAGAAGGCCATCACACACTCACGTCCAACCCTGGACAAGTCAGATAACCTCACGGGGCCTCTTTTTTCCTAATTGTTGATCTGGAACAAAAATCTGAGCCCCAGTTACCTTCCGGTGTTGGGAGAATGAGTGTTAAAGAACTTGGCAAAATTTTTATTTATTTTATTTATTTTTTAAAGGGGAGAATGATGATTTTTATTTTTTTAAGATATATTTTATTGATTTTTTTACAGAGAGGAAGGGAGAGGGATAGAGAGTTAGAAACACCAATGAGAGAGTATCATCGATCAGCTGCCTCCTGCACACACCCTACTGGGGATGTGCCTGCAATCAAGGTACATGCCCTTGACCGGAATCGAACCTGGGACCCTTGAGTCCGCAGGCTGATGCTGTATCCACTGAGCCAAACCGGTTAGGGCAAAATTTTTAGTTTTTTTGGTGATTAATTGTCAAGTCCTTTGGAGGATATATTTCAGAAATGAATGAAGTAATAAACAAAGCAGCACTTAAAGGTAATGATGTTGCCCTAGCTGGTTTGGCTCAGTGGATAGAGCGTCGGCCTGTGGACTGGAGGATCCCGGGTTCGATTCCAGTCAAGGGCACATGCTTGGGTTGCGGGCTGGATCCCCAGTAGGGGGGTGTGTAGGAGGCAGCCAATCAATGATTCTCTCTCATCATTGATATTTCTATCTCTATCTCCCTCTCCCTTCCTTTCTGAAATCAATAAAAAGATGTAATGTTATTTTTGCTCAGGTCGAATGAACTATTGTTTGCCATTCTTACAGATCCACTAATGTAAATAGTTTTCCCATCTCATATTGGCAGAACATTTTTAACCTAATTTTTCGAAAAGGTAATAAACTCACATGGCTCAGTATTCCAAATGAAGCCCGGCTGGTGTGGCTCAGTGGTCGAGCGTTGACCCATGAACCAAGAGGTCCCGGGTTTGATTGCCAGGCAGGGTACATGCCCAAGCTGCAAGCTTGATTCCCAGTAGGGGGCGTGCAGGGGGCAGCTGATCAATGGTTCTCATTGATGTTTCCATCTCTCTCTCCCTCTCCCTTCCTCTCTCTCTCAAAAATTAATAACAAAATATTTTTTTAATTCCAAGTATGTGAAAGGGTATAGTCATTATCTTGTGCCCTTGCCCCATCCCAGAGTCCCTCCCCATGGGTATGATGACTAATGGGTCCTGGTTTTCCTGGGACTTTCTGGTTTAGCACTGAACTTCCCATGTCTTGGGAAGAACTGTAGTCCCTAGCAGACTGGTTGGTTTCCCTGTATTATATGGAACCAAAATTATGAATTTGCTGTGCACCTTTTGCAGATAAACTGAAAGAGCAATCAGACTATCTTAAACATCATCACAGGTGATGAAATGAAGATTTCAAAAAAAAATAGCACATGTTTTTGGGGGGACTGGGGACCCATGACAACACCGAGGCCCAAATCTTATGGTTTAACAATTGTTTTTAAGCCCTCGCAGCTCTGAAATTGCTGTCCTCCTGTCAAAGAAATCTCTCTGTCTGGCGTGGGGAAGAGTCACAGAAACGTCAACAATGTGGCTCCATTTCCCACAGCTGATCAGGCTCCACGATCCTTTTGTTTATAATTTATTTTTGTAGAGTTAAAATAAGCATTTGTGTACCGGGGGCTTGGACTTTGTAAATACGCGTATTTGCCAAGCGATCTTGTAGAGTTCCCTGTGTAATTGTAACTGATTAGGGAAAGCCCAGTTTCAGAGAAAGCATAACACGGTCCTTTATCAAGTGTGAACTGAGAACAACACTAGGAGGCCCTTTCCAGGCTAAAAATAGACCTAGAACTTGGTGTATTTTAGCTCTGGGACGTTCACAAATTGCCTGGCAATCCGGCACATTATTATTTTATGAATCAGCACCAGCCTTCCTTTTAAATGTTCTAGCTTCAGGCTATTTCACTTCTGTGCAAAGAAAGATGAATTATTTATAAAAATGGGCATGAATATCATATGATAATACCCTCATTTCTAGCGGGGAATAACATGAGCTGCAGCTGGTACTCTGTCAGCTCCCAGGAGAGCTGATGGGAGCAAGCTGAGGATGGGGCTGCATCCTTCAGAAGGGGCTGATGCTAAGATGCAGGATGTGGTCCTCGGAGGATGCTCAAGTCTCCCCTCTCACTCATGTTCTCTGACTCTCTTATCTTCCCCCTTCCTTCCTTCTTTCATCCTCCCTCCCTCTCTCCCTCCCTCCCTCCACCACTGAGCCACACCGGCTTGGCTAAAGTAGTCATTTTTTTAAATATATATTTTACTGATTTTTTACAGAGAGGGAGAGAGAGCAAGAAACATCGATGAAAGAGAAACATCGAGCAGCTGCCTCCTGCACACTCCCTACTGGGGATGTGCCCGCGCAACCAAGGTACATGCCCTTGACCGGAATTGAACCTCAGACCCTTCAGTCCGCAGGTGGACGCTCTATCCACTGAGCCAAACCAGCTATGGCTAAAGTAGTCATTTCTTAAACATTAGTTGCAATGTGAAATCTGGAACCATACCAGTGAACTTTTGTACTCTGTTCCATCTAAATCCATTGGTTTTTCCTGCATTTTGAATGGATCTTTTACCCATACAAGATTTTTGTGACATTGTATATGCAATGGCCATTTGGGGATGTTGGTGTGCTGATTTATGTAGCTCTTCCAAATCCATCATACACTATCCAAATCCTACACTTTTTAGTATCGCCACCAAGCTCATCAGAAAAGTCTTGAAGTATGAGCAGAAGTCCAGCTCATGGCAGAAAGCATCTGAATTGGCAAGTTGTCTAAAAATTCAAAATTTCACTTGCAGGTTTGCATTATTATCATTGGCTACAATACTGTTAGTTGTTATCTTTGAAGCGACAGGCTCACCTTGTTCATTTTTGAGAAAATGCTTGCCAAAGGCCAGGTCTGAAGTTGAAAAACTTCAGATTAAACACGGTTTTCCTGAAAAACGTGGGAAGTTCAGTTTTCCCATGTGCTTTTTCTTGAGACAATCATCATGCTTCAGTGTGCGGCAGAAGTGATTTATTCATACTTACCATCTCATCACATAAAATATTAACATGATCTGTCCTCAAGGGTCAAGATTTAAATAATTTCATGGATAGATCCATGGCATTCTGAAGTAAAACTGGCTTTTTTTCTCTAGTGCATGGTTGTGAAGAATCCAATTGCTATGAGTATAGCTTATCTTGATTTATGCTAGGGTACCATCAGGTTTTATCACCATTTTGCACCATCAGTGCAAATGTTAAATCAGTGAAAATGCCAACTAACATCTTAGTGTTACTACGGAACTAGTTTTGAGTTAGCAGGCTTCCGGAAAGTGGCTCAGGCACTCCAGGAGTCTACAGGCCACATTTTTAGAACTGACAGTTGATTTTAGGAGCAGCCCAACATGCTTCCAATAAACTCCCTTTTTCTGAAATCAGCCAGAGTGGCTTTCATTGCCTGTCATCATTGTTCCGTGTTTAAAAAGGTCATGTTTATGTTGGTTGAATCAAAATGTCTAAGGAACTCTAATTTAAGGGCATTTTGTAAGTAAGTCCTTTGTTGTGATTTGCCGATTGGATAATCAGGAAGAATGAAAGATTCTATTTTTATTTTTTTTAAATACTCATCCAAGGATATTTTCCCATTGATTTTTAAAGAGAGTGGAAGGGAGGGGGAGAGACACACAGAGAGAAACACGGATGTGAGAGACAGACATCAATTGGTTGCCTCCTTCATGGGCTCAGACTAGGGCTGGGGATCAGGCCTGCAACTGAGGTATGTGCTCTATATCAGAATCGAACCCGCAACCCTTCAGTCTGAGGGCTGATGCTCTATCCACTGAGCCAAACCGGCTAGGGTGAAAGATTCTAAAATTTCACTTTTCTAAAAATATTCAATCTTTATGCTTTCTGTATTCGTGGTGGTAAGTCATTGTTACAGAGTCAAACAAATCTATGCTGATCCTTGAATTGTGGCAAAAGAAGGGTTAGAGTACTAAGTCCTATTTTCTCTGTTCTTATGGCTGCTTCCAATGACCTTTCTGAGCTAAGTGTGACTCTCCTCACTTTAGACATCAAAAAAACACAACTTGAATTTGGTGGTTAAGTCCTTGGCCAAGGCCACTCAGTCAGTGGTCAAACCTCTCTCTCATCTTGACCGAGAGGCTCTCAAACCCAGTACCTCTTTGCTCTACCACATAAGAATCTCTGAGAAGGACAAAAACATGAACCCGTGATGCAAGGTTTATGCCGTAGAGGCCAGTGCTGCAAAATCATGGACGTCTGAGATGGTTCATTAGGAATTTATTTTGTAAATTATATCGTGATGACATGATAAAGCTGGCTCTGTACCAAAGCAACATTTTTGACATGCCAGGAAGTGGTATTTTCGAGTTGGAAGAGACTTGAATCATGTGACTTGTCCAAATTTCTCACCACCAGCGCATGCTCACATAAGCAATGTGCATCTTATTTTATTTTATGTTTTTGTTGGTTTGTTTTTAAATATATTTTATTGATTTTAGAGAGGAAGGGAGAGGGAGAGAGAGAAACATCAATGATGAGAGAGAATCAGCGGTTGGCTGCCTCTTGCATGCCCCCTACTGGGGATCGAGCCCGCAACCCAGGCATGTGCCCTTGGCTGGAATCGAACCTGGGACCCTTCAGTCCGCAGGCCGACGCTCTATCCATTGAGCCAAACCAGCTAGGGCTGCAATGTGCATTTTAGGTAGCATTTCCTGGGTGATGACTTCTGATAACCTGATTATTGTTCATTTCATGAAAGAAAAAATGTAGTAACTATAGTGGTCACCACCTACTTAGATGCTGGCAGAATCCCTTCTTCCTGATATTCACAGCTTTGGGAAATACCTCCCCTTGAGTGTGGACAAGATCTGTGACTTGTCTCTAACCAAGAGAATATACAGGGTGTCCCCAAAAATGTATACACACTTGGAATAATTATTAACTCCAATGGATTAAATCTGAAAAGAAAGAAACACCAATTGAGCTATCAGCTGTTAAAGTGTGTATACATTTTTGGGGGCACACCCTGTCTACAGCAAAGGTGTTGGGAGGTCATGTCTGTGATTGGGTTTCATAAGATAATGTCTTTCTTGCTAGCAGACTCTCTTTTGCCTTATAGATTTGCCTTTTTTGATGCGGCAAGCTGCCATGCCAGAAAAACCCACATGGTAAGGACCTGTGGCCAGCAGCCTATGGACAGCTGAGTCTGGCCATCAGCCACTGATGGGGCGTGCAAGCAGACCCTTCCCCATTCGAGTATTCAGGTGAGACCTCAGCCCCAGCTGGCAACTTGCTTGCACCCTTGTGAGAGTCCCTGAAGCAGAGGGCCCAGCTAAGCTCTGATCAGGTTCCTGACCCACACCATCTGTGAGATAATGTATGTGTGCTGTTTTAAGCTGTGAAGTTTTGGGGTAATTTGTTAGGCAGTTATAGCTGACCAATACACTCTACAATCTTTATTATCTGCCTCTTTCTTTAGGAGGTCCGGGAGCGAGCTGTTTAAGGTCAGTGAGTCCTTGTCACGTGTGTTTATCTGCTTACCCATTCCACCACTGGAGTGTCCCATCAGAATCCATCCTTAGGGTGAAAGGTGGAACCTGCGGCCTACAGTGTACAGAGAAAGTGCTCCAGGAAAGCACTCTGTGGGCCTCACACTAGAGCAGCGGTTCTCAACCTGTGGGTCGCAACCCCTTTGGGGGGTCGAACGACCCTTTCACAGGGGTCGCCTAAGACCATCGGAAAACACATATATAATTACATATTGTTTTTGTGATGAATCGCTATGCTTTAATTATGTTCAATTTGTAACCATGAAGTTGGGGGTCACCACAACATGAGGAACTGTATTAAAGGGTGGCGGCACTCGGAAGGTTGAGAACCACTGCACTGGAACCTTCCCTTACCATTTAGCTTGCACATCAGCCAGCCAAGCAGTTACTCCCTGGGGTCTGGAACTTCAGCCTGGGCGGGAGACTAGTCATGCCCCAGCTGCTGTCCACAGCGAAGTTATGGATGCCGAAACGCACATCCCAGCCCGGTTCATAAGGAGAGGTGCAAAATATCTGAAGCCATGAGTTAAAAAACTTTTGACAGAAAGAGGGGAAATGGGGAGACACTGAAATGTATCCAATGCATTGGGCGTCGCGCACCCCACTTCACTGCAGGCCTCAGCGTTCTATCTCCTGTGGAGTGGGGGCTTACCTCCAGGTTGCATAGTCCTGGATTCAATCTGGGTCCTAAATCAACTATTAAATGAGAACAAGAGAAATACTTGTCAACTAAAGGGGTTGTAGGATCAAATGTTAGCCCGGCCCTTACTTCTTCCAGGGATTCTAGGTCCTCAGCGTGATTGGGGCCGCGCGTGAGCGAGCGGAGCGCAGCCCGCACCCCGGCTGGTGGCCTGCCCGCCCACGTGGGGCCGCGGCCCGTCGAATGACTCCGTGCGACGTGTTAGCGGCGGCGGCGGCGCGGGCTCTTCCGGGCGCAGTTTCCTGCCAAACAAGGGGGAAAGGGCTTTGGGAAGGGGGGGGTCCGGGTTTGGGGCTCTCCCTGGGGGGGGGGGGGGAACCCGGTTTAGTTGGGCCGCCCTGGCCCCGCCCGGGGGAACCATGGGGGCCGGGGCGTTGTTGGTCCGGTTTTTGTTTGCCTTCTTGGCCCCCCCGTTGCCC